GGTGTGAGAAAATGATCTAGTTTCATTCTTCTGCATGTTGCTGTCCAGTTCTCCCAACACCATCTGTTAAAAAGGCTGTCTTTTTTCCATTGGATATTCTTTCCTGCTTTGTCAAAGATCAGTTGGCTGTATACTTTTGGGTCCACTACTGAGTTCTCAATTCTGTTCCATTGGTCTATGGGTCTGTTTTTGTGCCAATACCATACTGTCTTGAGGATGACAGCTTTGTAGTAGAGGCTGAGGTCTGGGATGGCGATACCTCCCGTTTTGGTTTTATTTTTCAGTATTACTTTGGCTATTCGGGGTCTTTTGTGGTTCCATACAAATTTTTGGATAGTTTGTTCTAGTTTTGAGAAGTATGCTGGTCTATCACCCCTGTTCTGCCCTGGGATTCTGGGCCCAAAGCCCTCTGGCTTCTACCACTGAGACTTGTGGCACTCCCCGTCCTGCTCTGGCCACTCCTCCACTGTTGACGGCATCCTGGATTGCCTGGCTGGCCACATCCACATGATGGGGGCTCCACGCTCCGGCATTGGTAGGAGTGCCTGAGAGACACCATATGGCAGCTGTGAGTGGCTGCAGGGGATAGAGCTGGACACTTGGAGCTTCATGAAGAAAAAGGTGAACAAGGAGGAGGGCTTTGAGAGACAAGACTCCTGTGTTTTCAGTAGTGAGGTGGGGCAGGATGCTGGAACTTTCCCAAGGGCATGTGAGCAAAGGAGTCAGAGCTATGAGAATGTAATTATTACCATTGAGCTGCTTTTCCAGTTCAGGTAACCAGATGTTATGTAATGAGTCAAATGACAGAATTAAAAAACCTTTCAAATAATCCAGTTTCTGATCATACTAAAAGCACCCCAATCAGTTAATAAATAAAATCCCCATTTATTCTCTTAAGTGAAATTAACTTGTAAATGACATAAAATTCAAGCTTTTGTCCCATACTGCACCTCAGTTTCTTTTTCTCTTCTTTTCTTTCTTTCCCTTATTGAGCAGCAGCTTGTAGAGTAGGCTGTGGTCCTCTTAGAACCTAAACCCTGGGTGACTTCTGCTCAACGCATGTCATTTCCTCAGCCTCTCCAAAGTCAAATTAATCCAAACCCTGTGTCTTCCATGTATACCGTTTTCTAATAGTCAAGATTAAGGGAAAACAAAACTATCACAGGACCTGTGAGTTACCTTCCATTTAGAAAAGAAAAACTTTTAGCATTTCTAGTTATATAGAATAAAAATATATCCCAAGATACACTTGTGCAAAAGATATTACAAATCTCAAAGACATCTGGGGAGGACAGTAGAATAGAAAAGCTAGCCATATGTTCAGTGGATCATACTCTCTGTGAACTCAATTGTAAAGAACTCAATTGTAAACTCTTGCGTTACCATGTTTTTGAGGAATGTGCATCTAAGCATATTCTCTCCGATGTCAAATGGGAAGCTCAGATACATTCCTGTCTTCCTGCAAAGTTTATAAATTTGCCATACTGTCCCCCTTAGTCAATAGGCTAATTTGAGGTTCACCTTTATTTTAATTTTAATTTTTAAATTAAAGGCAGCAGGAGAGGGAAAGAGAATCTTAAGCAGGCTCCCACCATGGAGCCTGACCAGGGGTGGGAGTGGGGAGGCTAGATCTCACAACTGTGAGATCATGACCTGAGCTGAAATCAAGAGTCAGATGCTTAGCCAACTGACCACTCAGGTTCCCCAAGGCTCCCCTTTATTTTTAAACAGTTTATTGAGGTATATGTAAACATATTTAAAGTAGGCAATTTCATAAGGTATGAAATCATAAGTTACATCTGGAAAACAGTCTTCACAAAGAAGATAATTAACATACTCACCACCCAGGAAAGTTTTCTCATGGCCCTTTCTAATCCCTCCCACACCCCCCTGCCACTTCCTCCCCAGGAAACCACACATCTTCTTTCTGTCTTTTTAGTTTAGTTTGCATTTGATAGAACTTTACCAAATGTGACTATACAATACAAACTTTTTTTTCTGTGTGGCTTCTTTCACTAAATATAATTATTTTGACGTTCATCAATATTTCCATGTGTGGCAGTAGCTCATTCCTTATATACTGCTGTGTAATATTCCACTGTATGGATATACCATTATTTAACTATCCATTCACCTGTTGGTGTACATTTGGGTTCTTTCCAATTTTTAGCTATCACAAATAAAGTTGCTATGAATATTTGCACACAAGTCTTTTCATGGGTATATGCTTTCATTTCTCTTGAACAAATACCTTAAAGTGCAATGGCTAGATCATATTATAGATATATGCTTAACTTTTAAAAATGTTTTTATTTATTTCTGAGAGAGAGGGTAGGGAGGGGCAGAGAGAGAGAGGGGGACAGAGGATCTGAAATGGGCATCATGTTGACAGGCTGACAACAGCAAGCCTGGTGTGAGGCTTGCACCCACAAACTGTGAGATTGTGAACTGAGCTAAAGTAGGCACTCAATCAACTGAGCCACCCAAGCGCCCCTATGTTTAACTTTTCAAGAAACTACCAAAACATTCTCCAAACTAGTTGTACCATTTTGAATTCCTACCATCACTGGTTAGGAATTCCAGTTGCTCTATATCCTTGCCAACACTTGGAAGACTCAGTCTTTTAAATTGTAGCTATACTAATGGATATGTAGTGTTGATAGTGGCCCATTCAAGCATTTTTTTATGATGGCTGCTTTAAAAATCCTTATCAGATAATTCCAACATCTGAGTACTCTTTTTTTTTTTAAAGTTTATTTATGTATTTTGAGAGAGAGCACAAGTAGAGGAGGGGCAGCGAGACAGGGAGAGAGAGAATCTGAAGCAGGCTCCACAGTGCCAGTGAGGAGCCTGATGCAGGACTCAAACACACAAACTGCAAGATCATGACCTAACCCAAAGTCAGACCCAGGCACCCCAATATCTGAGTACTCTTGATGTTGGCACCTGATGATGATCTTTTCTCATTCCAGTTGTGATTATCCTGATGGTTGGTATTGATGAATGATTTTCTGTTGTTCACTGGACATTCTGGGTGTTAAGTCATGAGACTCTGCATCTTACTTTACCTTTGTTCTTTTTAGAAGGCAGTCATCTTGTTTAGGTGTAGCGTGCAGGTCCAGATAGGATGTATGTTCCACTCCCTTGGGAGCCCTACTGATGCCAGCCTGGTGACAATGGAGCACCAACTCTCACTGTCTCATTTATACTGGGCAAAGGTGGAAGTTCAGCTCCACACTTTGCCCTACTGACACCAGGGGCAGGGGAGCACAGTGCAAACTAACATTCTTTATTACGCCTTGTTCTGCCATGTTGCTTCCAGGTGGAAGTGGAAGCTCAGATACCTCCTGAAAGTGAATTTTATCTTAATCTATGAATATGTTACTTTGAATTCTTTACATACTACAAAGAACCAAGTGGATATCTTGCAAATGGAAATATTCTTTAAAAACACTCAGTAGGTGGGATAAATAGCAGAATGCATACCATTTGAGAACAAATTAGTAAGCTAAAGAATTATTCTAAGGTATAGGTTCTTTCCCTCAACCTTATGGTGTTGTTTAGAATTCTCTTTACCCTGTTATAATTAATGATTCTTCACATTAAGTTTCCCTGTTCAAATTAAATCCTGTTTAGGTCTTTATCCTCATTGGATTCTAAGTGATACACTAGTAATTCCTAATGAATCAATTTTTGAGGGGCACCTGGGTGGCTCAATCGTTTAAGCTTCTGACTTCAGCTCAGGTCATGATCTTGCAGTTCATGGGTTTGAGCCCCGCATCAAGCTCTGTGCTGATAGCACAGAGCCTGCCTGGGATTCTTTGTCTCCCTTTTTCTTTGCCTCTCCCCTGCTTGCACTCTGTCTCTCTCTGTCTCTCAAAAATAA